GGGGGTGGGGGGAGTGAGGGGGTGACATTCGGGTGTTTGGGGGGGTGACAGTCCGTCTGGTTTCTCGTTTCCCTTTGAAGCGGGTGGGAAATGGTGAAGGGGAAGCACACGTTTGCCCCGCCACAGTGCCCAGCGCTGCAATGTTTTGGTTTGGTTGTTGGTTTTTTCCTACAGCCACTATGTGGATATCGATCCAGAAAATCAAAATTTCCTGCTCGACTCCAGTGCTGGGAAGAAGAAATATGAAACTCAGTATGTAAGTACATAGCAACGGCATTTCCAATTTCTTGCCGAATTTATGTTTGTTTTAATTCTGAAATAAATAATGGCTTTCTATTAATTATTACCTGTCTCCCTTTTCTCAGCATCCGGGTACTACTTCCTTTGGAATGTCAGTATTTAATCTGAGCAATGCTATTGTGGGTAGTGGCATCCTTGGTCTTTCTTATGCCATGGCTAACACTGGAATTGCTCTTTTTGTGTAAGTATCTTTTGGTTCATCGAAAAAATATTTCTGCTGTGTAATTAATAATGGAAAAATACTTGATGTAAGAATATGACCTTTAGAAAATACCCAGTCATTGCCATAGGTGCAAAATTGCACGTTAGGATGCGTGGCTTGTTTTAAATTAAGATATTGCAACACATTCAGGAGGACTTGCAAAAATCATTGATTCATTGCAAGTTCTGCAACCCACAAAACATTTTACAGTGAATTTCCCTTTACGTAGCTGTAGTTTCTCCTTGAATAACTGATAGACTTCCCTTGAAAATTCTGTTATCCAGGTGGAAGAGAGAGGTGCTAGTGAACAGCCTGAAGCCTGTATTAGCTTTTGCCATCAGAGTTCACTGATTGAAATTAATGACAGTAAAAACTTCTCCATTAGCAGAAGTTATAATTGCACTAAAAGTACAGGATCGGGCTGTAGGGAAGAAGAAAAATGTAGGCAGAAGAGGACTCTTTTAATTGTCTCTTCCAAGTCTGGCTGTGCCTACTCTTTAAAACCTCGGGGAGGAGGGGATGTGGTCTCCTTTTCCTCAACTGGCATAGTTGTGCCTATGTATCCACCTATGTACAATGTACTTAGGCAATAAAGAAATCCTTTTTGTTACTATGCTTTTACTCTATTCAGGGAATTGGTCTCAGCTACACCTATAAAATTTGCTGTCTCTCTGCAAGGGAGGGATATGGAATAACCAGCATATCTTAACTGGTATGTCTATATGGGCAAAAGCTTTCGGGTATAAGGCAAGGTTATAGTCATGTAACTGGAAATGGCATGAGAAAACTGCTATGTACAGTGCTTCTAAATGTCTTGGGAAAATACATTTTTCATATATTGGAGGCAGTTCAGCTCACACAACATGTAGTATCAGTGACTGAGTGCAAATGGGAATCCATGGATACGTTTAAAGGGATTTTGTGGTTTTATGCTGGAAATAGGTAAATGTGCTGAATATTCAAGAGCAAATGAAGAGTAACATTTAGTTTGAAAATGGCCTTACTCTGTTGCTAGATTTCAAAAAACGTGTAGGTCAGATTTACTTTCATATATTTCACAGTGTATCAGGGTGGTGGTCAGGTTTTCCAGGGAAACTACCAATGCGTAATGTTTTGATCTAAAGGATTTTATTTTAAGTATATGGTAATTTGTTACTTTTTTTTTTTTTGCTAAGATTTTCACTTACATGATGCTGAACTGAATAAACAACTCAGCAGCATAAATTCAGAATAGAGAGATACTTAATCTCTCTACACATCAATTTCGTGCTCTGAAGGTGTTCTGCAGCAGATAAAAGATGATCAGCGTAATGCATATTAGAACGTCTCTGAGGAAAGGGAAAAATAGAATTTAAGATTACATATTTGAACACATTTGCATATAATTATATAATGGGGGACCATTTTTCTGAAGAAAAAAATGTCCAAAACCATCAATTTAACCATTAGGTGCTGAGGTCGTTTAGTTACCCTTCATTTGCAAATTCTGCATTCAGATCTATTTGTGTTAGTTCTGATTCAAAGATAAACTAGCTTCTTACCTTTCATAACTTAGTGTAGTTTGTATAGTTTCAAGGCAGGAAAGCACTCAGTCACTGACGAGACTGAGGATTTATGATGACACTGAGGGCTTTGCAGACATCCTTTAATAACCAGGTTGCAGATTCAGATCCAGATGCAGTTGATTAAAGGCAGTAAATTCTTCGAAGACTCTGTGGAGTCGCTTGTGTCAGTGCTGTGACTTGTCACTTGTGTCAGCACTAAATAAGTGGATGATGTGGTCTGGAAGCCAGAAACTGAGGTTTGAGATGAGTTTGCTGACTGATCTTGTCGACACTGCAGGCAGCCATTCGAGGTTAGGGCTGGGGGGATCTGGAGTCTGTGCTGTTTTAATGAAATGCAACCCTTGCACATCTCGCTGTGCTGTTCCTAGTTGATGGCTGAATTAAATCCTGGCTAATCTCTACCTGTCAGAAGCACAGAGGTTTATTTGTGTGCATGTGTTGGTCTCGAATTGGCACAGTAACATGAGTTTCCTGGATTCCTTGTACAGATCTGTGAGGCTTTTCTCAGCTACTCTTGTTTGCAGATCTTTGTGCTGTGTTTACTAATTTTGCTGATGTTAAAAATGACACACAAGGAAATGTAAAGAGTACTCAGGGAAATTCCCTGCCCATGGCAGGGGGGTTGGATCTAGATGATCTTTAAGGTCCCTCCCAACCCAAACCATTCTTTGGTTCTATGAAATCTCGATGGAGATTGCCATTTTTGAGCAGATGTGCTGATTGCTAGGTTTCTTATAAAGCAGAGTGCTTGTATTGGTATAAGAAAGGCATGGGGGGGGTTTGAATGTATTGTAATTTTCCACTGTGTTCTTCAGCAGCTGAGAAGTCCCCCCTAGCGTGCCACTCCAGGAAGTGCATTTGTTGTGGGAGAGATTTGTTGTTGAGAGATCCTGAATTTTAGATGTTGCAAATGTGCTTCCGGAAATAATATATGTTGCCTGTAGAGCTGTGGGGAAGATAAACAAGCCACTAGCGATTCCCATGTAAGCACACATGAAGAGTAACTTTTGAGCAAAGAAAGTATTTTATTTTTTCTAATGACAGTAAATATGTATTTCCATTTAAAGACACAGCTCTCAATACGTCTGAATTTTCAGTCAATTCTTTCAGGCTTTTGCAGTTTCACCTTTACATTAAAAAAAAAGACATAACATAGGTTTAAGCTGAAAAGCTGATTTGTTTAAGACCAAGAGATAATCTTCGCTTTAGCTACAGTTACTCACAACTGGAAGTTCAATAGATGCATGACACACTGTTGAACGAGAATGGGAAGACAGGAGAAACAGGGTTTCTTAATGATACAAAACCCTTCCCGTTGATACTTTGTTAGACCACTGACATCAAATGTAGCCAGTTATAATGGCCTGACACTTGCTGGTGCTTGTGCCGCCTTAAGCGTTGTTTAATCCTACACTAGAATTTCCCTGTGTGCCAGTGAAATGCATTTTACTATAAAATCCTTCCTAAACTAGGCGGTAATTGGGTTTTCAGAAGACTTTTAGCTGGCCTTAGAATCTACAGGGTTTTCCCAGATAATATTTTAATATGATTAAATTTTATGTTTGATCCGCCTTTATTTAATAAGGTTACAATAAGTCATTTATGGCTATTAAAATTTTGCATGTTTTTCCCTCCCCAGGATTCTCCTGCTGTTTGTCTCAATAGTTTCTTTGTATTCAGTGCATCTCCTTTTAAAGACTGCCAACGAAGGAGGTATGACAAATTACTATTTTACAAACATAGTGTTTTTGTTTCATACAGTATCTTTGTGAAACACACCCTTCCAATGGATCGTTTTTGTTTTCTTCTAGGATCTTTATTGTATGAACAGTTGGGAATGAAGGCATTTGGTATGGCTGGAAAACTTGCTGCTTCTGGCTCAATTACAATGCAGAATATTGGAGGTGAGGGCAAGATCTTAAAAAGTCTGTACTGTCAATACTAATTGTTCCCTACTTATTCTTGGAGACTTTTTTTTTCACACAACATGTCTTCATTAACTGCTTGTGTTCAAGTGAAGTTATGAAACATGTTATGTGATTCTTGCATCTTGTGGCATATTCTATATTTGTAATGATCTATGATGTTATTCACCTACAGCTATGTCAAGCTACCTCTTCATAGTGAAATATGAGTTACCATTGGTCATCAAGACATTTATGAACATCGAAGAGACCACAGGGTAGGTGTTAGAACTCCTCATCAGAGAAACTATTAGGAGAAACAAATACGGAGACTGTATATATATTTATATGAAGATCACGTTCGGTACACCGTAGGGTAGCTTCTTACTCAGACAGAGATACAGTAAGTTTGTCCTTCCCCTGAGTGCTCCACTTTAGATCCAGCCTGGCCTGGGAAAAGGGTAGAAAAATAGAGGTTATCGCATCATATTACAGAAAGCTGTTCTCTAAAGAACATCAGGTAAGTGTTAATGTATGTACCAGTCAGTACATACTCTCAATAAGGAAAGGTAAATGTGGTTATGATTGTGCTTTTTGTTTTCTTTTTTTTTTTTTTTTCTTATTGTGTTCCAACTGGTTTGGACTGATTATTTTGGTTTTCTAGTGTTAATATTGTGGGAAGTGATTTAACCTAAGAATAAGGTGCAGTTATGTAATGAATGTCTTAAGGAACAGTTCTCAAAAAGGCATGGGGGCTAAACATTGAAGTAAAACAGAGTTTATATGCCCAAGACTAAAATGGTAGATGGATTGCCAGTTAGCCCTGGAGACACCTTGACTCCGTAGTGGCTTTTCTGCTTGGCTTTAAAAGTGGGTGCCTTGGGTAGGGTCCATTTTATCTAACCATAATGTCTGAAAGTTAGATTTTGAGCTCATCACTACTCTGGTCTTTGTATAAACAGTAAAGTGATTTTCTGTAGTGGTCAGTTCAGTGCACCTGGCTTAGACACCTGTTTTGGGCATCTCCAGAGAGCAATTTATATCACTCTGTGTTGAGAGGGTGTGTGAAAACAGCTATCTAAAACACGATGCCTGACTTCAGATGGATAGAGTTAAGTGCTATAAATCTCACTCTTCAGAGTTGTACTTCTGTGCCTTGTCCTGAAGTGTCCCAGTCTTGAGAGGGCTGAGCAGCTCAAGACTCCAACTTACACCTAAGCCTGAGTTCAGAAGGTAGGCATTTTTCTGCCTGTGTTCCCCAAGGGGTTCAAGCCATTTGGTGGTGTTCATACAGCTTGCTGATAGATATTGTCATGACAACAGTACTAGCCATCTTTTTTTTTTTCTTTTTTTTTTTTTTTTTTAAATACTCAAAGAATATTTACTTAATAGTGTAATGTTTACAAATTCTTTCCTGGGAAGGTTTGTTTCCCTCCTTTGGCTGAATTCAAGTCCATATTTTACCACTTTTTTTTTTTTTTTTTTTTTTTTTTTTTTTTAAAGTACTCAAAGAATATTTACTTAATAGTGTAATGTTTACAAATTCTTTCCTGGGAAGGTTTGTTTCCCTCCTTTGGCTGAATTCAAGTCCATATTTTACCACTTCTTAAGAAAGTCCCTGGCGTAGCCGCTACTTATGAGGGGGCTTGGAGGCAAATATTTTTAACTGTCCAATCTCCAGAGTAGAATTCAAAATCGGTTGCAGTTCAAGAGAGGGAAAGCTAAAGGCTGTCAGTCTCACTGGCTGCAGCTGCTGATCTGCAATACCTGGCAGACAAAATTAAAAGACATTGGGATCGGTGTCTTAAGTGTGTTCTTATTGGCTGGTACTAGATAGCTGTACACTGATTTAAAGTCGATCTTTTCTCAGCGCTCTGGCAGTTGTGGACCCCATTTAACTGACTCTCTCCATGCGTTGCTTAGGGGAGTCTGGGTGGCTACCATTGGCATGGATTCCACTCTGGCAGCCTGGTGCCTAAAATGTAAGCACTTACCTGTTTAAATGTCCCAAAATAATGCTTACTGTAGAAGATATTCTGGAATTCTGAGACAATATCACAAATACTAGCTCCATTATTAAAATTCGTTTAGAAATTTTTAAAATACTCAGCTGTATTTTAAAGCTGTGTAATCCCATTCTTTACTCTATAGCACAGGAAAGGCTTTTAAGTCCTTGGTCTGAAAGTCCTGCTGACCTCCACATGGGGCATGCACAATAATTATGCGCGTTCTTATGACTATCAAATGCAAGGAATCTCTGTGCTGTGACTTCTTTTAAATTTACCAAAGACAACAGAAGATACCTGATGTTAATGTCATACACATCTGAACTTTCTAAAATACATTGTTTACATTTAGTTATCCCAGATAAAACTGGGGAAAGAGATGACCAAATTGTTTTTGCATTTACTACATAAATCCAGAGCAAGTCTGTTAAAGTTATTCCATATTTTCACAAGCATATAAAGGCTTATAATTCAGCAATTGAGTTTGAATGCTTAAATTTCCGATTGGGTCATTAATTTTTCTTTGTTTACCTAAATAGTTGACAGTCCATTCAAAAATAAATACTGTTATTTGATACCATATCAGGATATAAAGTATTAATATTCAGGAATAAATGTTACTTAGTATTACCTGAATTGCTTAAAGCATATAGAATGTTCCTGTAGGACAGATGAAGAAAGGAATTGAACCGCCACAGTTAAATACTCAAGATAATTTTTTCTGTTAGTTATATATTTAGAAATATAAATTGCATTATATTTCCACAAATCTAACTTTGTTTTTCTGTGTTTCAAAGGAAGATGTTAATCTTCTAACACTCTAAAATGTTTTGTCAAAAAATAGCTGCTGCTTCTTATGGAATAAAAGACCAAAATGATCTGAAGGGAAAAAATCTTCTGAGGTTCTTATTATAGTTTCCCCATTGAAAGGGAGTAAATGTGCCTCCAAGAGACTCCCAGTGCTGGTTGGAGTTTTCTCAGCCAGTGGGCTTGAGCTACTGCCTTAACTCCAGCCCTTACCTGTTTTTCTTTAACTCCTGCAGGGTACCCATGAGAATTTTATTTCCATTAAAAGTGGCTCACCACCCTGCTGAGGCCCTGCAATAGTTTCATACTTCTGGAGAGTTGGGAACCAGCATTTAAGCAAATTACTATTTTTACATGATCGATCCCAGTTGACTTTTTTTCTGGCCAGTCATTTACTTTCCTGTCTTCTGACTTTCAGATGCATATTAATTTTAGAAAAGGACACTAAAGGAAAGGCACAATGCAGGTTTGGGGTGAGATAAGGTGTTGTAGGGCTTTAGGTCCATATAGTAAGTTGAATGCTAATCCTTTGTGACATGAGGTACTACACTTTTTAAGAAACTGTATGTTCTAGAAGAGTGAAGCCTAAATGGCAGATGTCGTAATTTTTAAATACTTTGGTTACTTACAAATATTATCTTTTTTCTGCAGAGAATGGTATCTTAACGGCGACTATTTAGTGCTGCTGGTGTCTGTCATCCTCATTCTTCCCCTCTCCTTACTGAAAAATTTAGGTAAGCAGTACAGTACGATCAAAATAAAAACACACTGAAAATACTGTGGGGAAATGGGTTGATATGATGTTTGAGTCTTGAAGTACTATGTGAATTAACAGCTGTCTCCAAACTTGTCGCTTGGACTAATCAGTGTTTAGGTAATTGCTGTCAATCTACAGCAGAAAAAGAAAAAAAAAAAAGAGAAAAGAAAAAAAGATCAGGAAAACAGAAGAACTATAGATAGGGTAGTTTTAGAACAAGGCTCAACAGTAACTCAGTGTTCTTATCGCAACGTTTGTCCTATTTTTGTTAGTATAGTATACTATTTTGTAATAGTATAATATTATTATTAGTCAATAGTGTTAGGTATTAAACCCTATAACAGTCTCAAAATAATAGGAATGCTAGCCCTGGGAAATTAAATTGTCTTTGCAATGTAAATAGAAGTCACCTTTTTCATTTTACATCCCAAACTTTAGCAGAATATTCATACCAGATGCTTTATCTGAAATGTCTGTAATTCGATGATACATGTGAATCATTCAGTTAATATACTATTGGTTCAGAGAATCCTGCAGTGGAGTCTTACTAACCAAGAGTCTCAATGTGAATTACTTTCTCAAGTTACTAGTTTCTACAAATGAAGTGAATCAATAAAAACAGAAAGGAAAAGGCTAAGTTATCTTAGAGTGCATTATATTAGAATTAAAACTATAATCATTCTTAGTATGCAATAAACAATTCACATAGTTATGGGCGGTGGGGGGTTATTGTGGGGGTTTTTTTGTAAGTTATAATGTTTAATATTACAGACTCACTGCATGTACAGACCCTAATATGTCTTTGAGAAGTTTTAGATCTGGGTTGAGATTAGCAGAAAGTCAATGAATAATTCATTTGTTCTATGTAGCACTAAGAAAACGGCAATCTAAAGAGATCACTGACAGAATATATTTTGTCATAATGTTATGACAGGAATGGTATTTCTGTTTATTGTATCTTAGATGTTTTTACCTTTCTTGAACACAGGGTATTTGGGCTATACCAGCGGCTTTTCCTTGCTTTGCATGGTCTTCTTTCTGATTGTTGTAAGTATAATCTCGCAGATTTCCAGGCTTGTAAAACTGCATTTCAAATGGAAACTAAACATAGTTTCTGAAAAGTTTCACAATTTGCATTAGTCAAAGTAACAATAAATACGTGGCTTTTTTTTTCTAGGTAATTTGGAAGATGTTTCAGATTCCTTGTCCTATGGACAGTGACGTCATGAATATGACATTAATAAACGCGACATTAGCACCTTTACTAAATGAAAACATAACAAGCGATGATATGTGCAAGCCAAAATATTTCATCTTCAATTCACAGGTAACTGACTAAAAATCATGCTCTCTGTTGAAAATAACTGAGAGGCTAAACAACACATAGCAGGTAAATTAGGTCATTTTTCCTTCAAGCAATTGCCCAGTTGTAAACTTGGGATGTACTAAGACTTTCTGTTCCAGTAGAGTTAGGCAGTGTGTACCTCCTGTAGACTGGGTGTTTCCAAGCTCCAAACACACAGAAATTAGAGGAGCTCAGGTTCCATTCAAGTTAGTAAAGCATTTTAAAAAGTAGATTGCAGAAGAAGGTGAAGTAAATCATAAAAGCATGCGAACAGGAAATGTATGCCAGGGTTTGGCGTAGACTTTAACTTCCCAGTCACAAGGTCCTGACTCTCATGAATGCTCCCAGTTACAGCAGTGAATCTCCATGCACGGGGAAGGAGTATGTGTAATAGCCAAAAACCAAGACCAGGCTATAATGGCTTAAACCTCTGAGATGCAGCACATAATTCTGACTGCAAAAATACATGCAGCTCATTGTGGACTTCAGTGAGATTTGAGAGTATTTCATACCTCAGGGTCTGGGTTTAAGAAAATATGAACCTGTTGTTTTAATTTTTGCTGAAGTTTCGGTTGTAAAGAATAGCTAGTCTTTATGACAAACTAAACTGATGCCTAAGTCAAAACCGAAAAATCTACTGATTAATTTTTTAAAACTAAAGTTCTAATGTCTGTTGAGATATTTAAGAAAGATGCTTTTGTTTTTGTTTTTCAGACTGTCTATGCTGTCCCAATCCTGACATTTTCTTTCGTCTGTCATCCTGCAATTCTTCCCATCTATGAAGAACTGAAAGGGTAAATATTACATATATGTCTGTAATTTCACTAAATGAACAAAAGCAGTGTAAAACGGTGCATTCACATTGCTCATAATGTTTCTTTTCTTACAGCCGAAGCCGTAAGAGGATGATGAATGTGTCCTATGTATCTTTTTTTGCCATGTTCCTCATGTATTTATTGGCTGCTCTCTTTGGATACCTGACATTCTATGGTAAATATTGCCTACTTTGCTTTCTTTTAAATGAATTACGTTCTGCAAAACCACAGTATTATTTTAAAGTTAGAGCAAGCATTTACTATGGATTCTAAATATACACTGTTTGTTGGGGTTTTTCAGTACTTTTATAAGTGCAAACCTAAAAGGAGATCAGTAGTAGAATTAGGCCCAAGGCACAGGATTAAAATTGGATTAAAACAGATTTAGTGCCTCCAAGTTATCCCTGTGTAAAATAGAGATGTGCTTACAGGAGCTATTGAGGCTTTCAATTCATATTGCTGTAACTGTAAAATTTGCTTAGGATTTAGAGCAGAAGCGGTTGTTTGAGAAGTATGTCAACTACATCTAATTAAAATATCGGGGTTTTTTGTAGGAAATGTCGAACCAGAGCTGCTTCATACCTACTCTGCTTATCTGGGTGCTGATGTTCTTCTTCTTATTGTGCGTCTCGCTGTACTTATGGCTGTAACCCTTACTGTACCTGTAGTTATTTTCCCAGTAAGTAATTTGATTTTTTAATCTTACTACCATTTATTATGTTCATCACCTGTCCTGCAGTCATTTACTGGTTTGGCAACTCCCATTTATAGCCTTTTTCTTTTAACTGGAAAAGGACATTTATTTTAATAGCTTGATGAAATAGCTCTACACAGTTAATTCAAATAAATAATTAGGCAACATTTGCAGAGCAGTAGATACAAATGCATTCAGTTATATTGTTTTCCTGGTACAGTTTAATTGAGGGAATTAAACAGATTGCGCCTTTATAAACATACTTTCATTATTGTATTATCAACTTTAAAAAGTCAGTGTTTTCGTAAGTATGCTGTGAACATGGATTCTGGCCATTTAGGTGTATAGTGTTGACCAGCATTCTTAGATGTTACAAAAATCCCTGGGATTTATTTTGGCCGAAGACAGATATTTTTCCATGTGTTTTCTCTATTGCTGGCTGTGCCTTGAAAATCTCAATCATTGAAAAGAGAAACAGACCAGAAACGCAGAGATGCTTCTCAAGTGCAGGAAGTAAATACTTTTAAAATAATTACTTCCATGTCTTTGAAGTTCTATTGAAATCTGAAGTGTTTAGGGAAATGGTGTTAAAATACTTTCAGAAGGATGGTCTAATTCAGGTGACAGTCACTGACTCGCACAATGAAGACTAAACTGTATGTGGTTTTTTCCCCCCCTCTTCCAAAGATTCGCAGTTCCATTACCCAGCTGCTGTGGGCAGGGAAGGAGTTTAGATGGTGGCGTCACTGTTCCATTACCGTTGCTCTTCTGGCGTTTACCAACATGCTTGTTATCTTTGTCCCGACTATCCGAGACATCTTTGGATTCATTGGTAAGCATTTCCACGTCAGTTCAAGTAGTCTTTCAAATCGCAGAAAACACTGTTCTGATCTAATTAAATTATATTTACCTGTTTATGAATATTTATTTCTATGCTTTTTAAATACAGGTGCATCTGCGGCTGCCATGCTGATCTTTATACTTCCTTCTGCCTTCTATATCAAATTAGTGAAGAAGGAGCCAATGAAGTCAGTGCAAAAGATTGGGGTATGTATAGACAAATATGTAATAGTTACACTTGCTTACTAATTTAGGGCAAGAACTTTAGTTTCTGTCTTCACAATTTAAGAATTTTGAAGTCCTGGTGAACTCCACTTGACATTGTATTAGTAAACATGTGGGAGTCGCACAGGTACTCAAACCTGAGGAGAGAGCCATCACAAGCCTCAGTTCACTGGAGTGACTTCTCTCACCCCCAACCCCCAATCTCAACAATAGTTGGGTCATTCTGTTGCTGATAAGATCCAGATTTCAACAGATGACCTTTAAGAGCTATAAGTCTTCTTCTCCTTTAAATTTTCTTTCAAGACTTACTTACCTAATTTACCCCATGAAAGCTTTCCTCCACGGATCATCTGGGTCATCCTGACTGATCTTGTTGTTGTTACTGGTCTTAGACAATACTGACTCAGAATCAAATCATCAACATATTGAGTTAGAACCCAATCAGTGCAGTGGCAGAGCCTGACAGATATCAGCAGCCACATTAATTTCCCTCAGTTGAGGGTGAGGTCTGCTATTCTGAAAATAAATGTTCTTTTTTGTTTGAAAAAGAACCCCAAGTCTAAGAAGGATGCCTAGATCCTTACTTACTGTGATCTCTTGTCTTTTTTACTTTATCTTCAATGAGCAATGGCCTTTATGCCATAAGTGGGCATAATTTCATGGATATAGTAGCAAAAACTGAAATATTTCTTTTATGTTTTCTTTTTTCAGGCTGCATTCTTCTTTCTAAGTGGTATAATTGTGATGACTGGGTGTATGACACTGATTATTCTAGACTGGACCCATAATGTTGCATCTGATGGCCATTAACTGTCCTGGTTTAATCTCTAATACTCCACTTCAAATGCCAGTGTTCGCTCAGATACCTACTGAGAACCAAAATGAGCTATTCAGCTTCCTCTAAAGTGCAGATTCTTTGTTGATGGTTCTTCTGATTGTAGAATACCTGAACTCTGTCTTTAAGAAACTATTCTGCATGATGGAAGTGGATATGAACATCAAACCATGTGAGTGTCTGGCTGAAGGAAGTGACAACTTTATTCCATTCCAGAGAATGGACAAAACTCTCCGTAGACTCTTATCAAGCCATGTTTGGCTTTCGTCATTGTTACTTGGATATTTTGTTATTTTACTTGAATGTGCCTAATGGAACCATTTGATGTGAGAAATAACTCTTTAATTTACAGCAAAGTGTTTAAATAACCAATGAGAGAGAGAGAGAGAAACGCTATTATTTTTTGTACCAAAAATTCTTATGGACCTCAAAAGCACTATTTTGACTTTAAGAAACATTTTTCTAAAGAGAATGAAAGAATAATGGTGTCCCTGCCCATGGCAGGGGGGTTGGAACTTGATGATCTTTAAGGTTCCTTCCAACTCTAACCATTCTATGATTCTAATAACATAGAAGATCTCATAAAAATATTGAATCAGTGTCCTACATTACATCTAGTTTGCCTTTCTCTAGAGGCATAATTAGAAGAAATTTTATTTTAAAAAATACTTCTAATGACCAAAATAGAAAATGAACCAATTCAAGTCAAAATTCTCTAATTATAAATGCTTCCCATGAAATTCACTTAGCTCAAAGTAGAGTGAAAATAACCCTGAAAATAATTTGTCAAGTTACTTAAGTAACTACAGTTACCTGAGTTCCAAAAAATGGTGTGGAAACACAAATTTTCAAGCTTTAAAAAAACCCGCCCTTCAGAACGGGTATGTTTGAGAAAAACATAGCTAATCTAGAAATTGAAAAGGTGGCGTTGACATTTCCCTTCTTGAGGTACTCAATAGTGCAATTGGGTAAAACAGGGTTTGGGGGGTTTGTCTTTTTGTTTTGGTTTTTTTTGTTTGGTTTGTCGGGGGTTTTTTCTGTTGTAGATATAAACTGAATGGCTCTGGAGTATCATGCCATTAATATAAAACTCCCTCCTGGAGTTCTCTTTATTAATAAGGTCCATTTTCAGTTGTAGCAATGTTCGTTGGTTTTTTTTTTTCTGTCCAATCTATCTTGAAACACTCTGTAGGAAAACAAAAAGGTCCTAATGTAGTTTACTAGTTGTATAATATTCAAAAGCTGTACAGTATTTCTCAGATTACTCATCCATTATTGGATTTTGAATTACTTGACTATTCTGTTTCTGAGTCAAATCCACAAAATAACTGCACCAGTATTTCATGCTTGGTACAAACTCTCTTCACATACGCAACTGGGATTCCTCTTCCAATTTATACTGTATAGTAGCATTAAAGATAACCTCATAGACTGGATAGTCATCTCATACTTGTCTGCTTCAGAACTAGGTAAGTTCCTTATGAGCCCTAGCTAGCTAGCTGATGAAACAGGTGCTGTATGGTTGTGATTAGCTGTTTTGTTTCTAGTGCATGTTTACTCTTTCATTCTTATCCCAGGTTGAAGAGACATAACACTCGTATAACAGCGTACTTGGCTTATAAGAGGTTCTCAAACACAACAATACTGGGTACAAAAGCCTAGATAGAGATTATTAATGAAATAATCATGGCAATGTGGTCAGCTGTCTTCATCTGACATGAGGCTTTAAAAATCTGATTTACAAAGTTCCACTCGGTCATTGTCAGAGGGAACAAGTAAAGGGCCTGTAATCCATTGATTAAACAGTGCCTGAGACTTTTTTGCTCTTGTAGAATTAATCAGGAACAAAGCTAAATGATAGTCACTCTTTGGCAGATAATGTCAATTTCTGCCCAGCCATTTAAAATCTATGAAAAATAACTGCAGGTATTTTGTATTGATCCTTCTGCATGACTGTAAGTACTGGTCACTAAGTCTGTAGTGTAAAACTGTAACGAGAAGTTAGATTCCTCTTGTGTTGTTTGTATTATTAGTTCAGTGGTACTCAACTGGCAATTAATGATCCTGGAGTCAGCACTGACGACCGCTCCTTAGGTACTTCTCTGCCTCAGGTACTGTCCATCCATGGCGAGCTCTATCCCATGTTGTTACCTGATCTCCACAGAGGTGTGCCTCCTCAGTCCTTTGGCAGCTTTTCCTCTTCCTCTCCACAAACACAGAAAGATGGGAGAGGATTAAAACGTCGTCTACCTTTGAGCAATTTGTAGCACATAAGGGATGAAGCGCTTCCCTTGACAGCGTTTAGAAAGAAAGAGAGAGAGAAATAGCCTCCGTTCTCTCAGTAACCATAGACGAGGAAGGAGGTATAGATGAGAAGTTACTACATAGTTCTCAGCAGCCAGAGAGGAGGAAGATTTTTTGTGATGACACCTCATAATGTATCATGCATGTCACTTAATTCTCTGAATGTAGCAATTTCCACTTTTTACATTATGTGTTACATTGTTTGATGACTGGCTCTCCACCTGCAACAGTTGAGTTCCACTTGGCTGGGTTGATTTCCAACATACGATTTATTTCATTAATTTTTCTTTTCCAAACCTGTCTGCTTAAAGTTACCTACATTACAAACCACCTAAAAGAGCAGCTTCAGTATTAAACCACTGTTTTGTCACCTCAGTTAGACATTACTGTCTTCCATGATATTTCAGTCATAAATGTAACATGTTATTTATAAAGCATTAATCCATTAAAACTAAACCTATTTTTCAATATTTATGATAGTCTATGTACATAAATTGTATGTGTGTATATAATGTAAGTATAATGTATATAATGTAGGTTTGGAATCTGTTTTATGTATATATTCCTCTCTCATTACTGATTGTTACATCATTTCAAGTTGTTGTTCATGTTGTACATCTGTATAACAACTGTCAAAGGAAAGACTTTTTTTACAGCAAAAGGCAATGCTTGCAAAGGCGGAAGATATGTGTTACGCCTGAGGTGTGTAAGAAAACACTAAGATTGTATTTATTACAAATGTATATGTTGCAATAAACACAAGAGTCACTTGGGTCCATAAAAAGCATCGTTCAGGTTCATGTATACTTTTCCTCTGAAATTTACCATGGATGTTACAATTTCCTGAATGGAGCAACTTAACAACTTTTACGATCTAACATATTTGTTAGGCCACTAAATTCAGGCATCCTACGGTACATCCGTGTACATATGTAAATATCCACTGTATTGTTAAAGGCCAACACTCTAGCTACAGTTGTTGGCAGGGAGTGCAACACAGTTTCAATGAAACATTGTATGTTTGTTTTAACTAAAATAAATAAATAGATAATCCTAAGCAATTGTGTGGTGGTTTATTTTGGGTGGAGGCGTTTGAAGAGTTTTCTTTAAAGACTTTAAAGTGTATCTTTATTTTCATGCATATTTAATTTATTTATGAGCACTTTTCAGGAAGGGGGCGGTAGCGGGGGAGGAAATAGCATACAACTCAGTCCACAATTTATGACACTTTGAGAGTAAAGAGAGCAAGTCTGGACATTAAAGAAAATGAGAGACTAAATTCTGCAAGGAAGCCGCACTATGTCATTTTGTTGCGGTGCAGGTGTATTTGGAAACAAGACCCAATGTGTTAGATCTTGTATAAATGTAATAAATGAGTGAGTCTTGTCAAAATCCTATGCCATTCTGAAAATGAATCTCCAGGAAAAGAATAAATACTACTTAAAAATTTTATAAGCTGGTGCACCTGTTTCACTTGTATTTCAGCAACTGGATACAAACCAAGTGCGGCACATCAGTTTTTTGTTCTCCAGAAATCTCTACCAATTAATATGAATTTTTGTCTTTCCCAAATATTAAGAATGGGGTGTGAGAGGCACTGGAGATGTAACTCAGTGTGTTATGTATACAACAAGACACTGTATGAAAGGAATCTTAAAGAGACATATTTAAGTACCCTGAAATTAGGAAATGCCTCAATTAAGCTTGCTTTAATTACTGGATCACATAGTAATTTTTTGCTGGAATCCCCACCAAGTAGCTATTAATTATTTTTTTTTTTATCACATTTTCTACATCTTCACAGTGTTTATGTATTTGCTCAAAGTCCAAAGCCCATCCTGACAAAAGATGAATGTCATTTCTCATTCTCATCCGTGTGAAACACAAAGGATTTCTCATTTTCACAATGTTGCAGGCCCGTAAGAAGGTGTGAATCAGTCTGCACACCTGGGGACCTGAAGCACAGAGAGGCAGCACCCTGAGGCAGCTGTGCATTGGAGGCCACAATTTAATGTCTAGCACTTGCTTTTTTTGTGTTTCAGCATTGGCTTACTTGCATCTGAAGGGTAACTGCAAACAGGTTTTGGGTGATTATCATTCTTGAAACAAGAACCCTAAGCACCAAGTTAGCCTCTTGGAAAGGATGATCATGTCTGGAAATGCTCTTTATTTTAACTTGCCCACCCTCACACAGGAGTTTTATAGCAGTAGAGAAGCTCTTTCCCTAGAACACCACTCAAGTGTTTGAACAATTAAGCTCATCTCTCCCCAGTCAGGCATTTCCATCAACTTAAATTTTATGGGAAGTAGTCTTTTCTACACACTTCTGATTCCTCCCAAGATTTGAGTCACCCTGTGTGATGAATGAGACAGTGCAATAATTTCACCAAAACAAAAAAAAAAAAAAAAATCATGGTGTGTGACTGTTTAAAATCTCATGCTTTGAACCTATTTACCCACCACAAGGGCTTTGCTCCAGAAGAGAGATGAGCTGTCACTTAGGGTTTATTCACAGAATCACAGAATTGTCTCAGTTGGAAGGGACCTCTAGAGATCATCTAGTCCAGCTCCCCTGCTAAAGCAGGATTGCCTAGAGCACATTACTCAGGACTACAATGCTGAAATTTGGGAATCTCTTGAGGCCTCTGCAGGTGAGAGCTGGCATCTTTACTGTCTTCTGGTTCCCCTGAAGTTTACCTCTATTTTGCCTCCAGGAACGGCTCTATACCATAGCTCCCCTTCAGTCTGTGTGCCCATATTTCCTTTCTGGAGAAACAGAGCAGAGGGCAGCTGGTGTAAACCTAAGTTTCAGCGGCAGAAGTAGCTGAGGTGCCACATGGGAGCCCTCAGTCCTGTCCTTCCAGGAATGTGGAAGCATCATCCTATAACCGGTGCAGAGGTGCCCAGATCCTACTTCCTCAGCCTTTCTGGTTTCAGCCTCTGGAGTGTGCCAGCCTAAACCCCACCTGCTTTCACATGCACTTCTCTGTCTTCTCACACAGCTGCTGCCAACTGCCACAAAGGGACTCCTTGTCAGCTCTGTCACTCTTGCTCTGAGTCCGGTCCCAGTTTGCCAGCTCTCCTGCAACAGCTCAGTCAACTCCCAGCTCCTCCTGGAAGCCACCTTCCCTCATCTTACTGCCTTCCTGACTACATGCCTACCCACGTCCAGCTCCCACCCTTCCTCATTCACTTTACCCAGGCACAACTAGAAACATCTTCCTTTGCTTTTCCTAGTCTCCACCCAGCTGGTCTCCTTATGGCCTCCACGATAACTACAAGACTATTTTTTCTTCTCCTCTGCCCATCCCACCAGGTCCTGGCTCTCCAGTAGCCCTGCATGGACCCTTCGGTGGCCCAGAGAAGTCCACTTCCACACTCAGGTCAGGCATCGCTTGCCCCTCCAGCCTTTGGCGGCGCACAAAGCCCTGCTGAAGAGAATGGGAGAGGCAACTTTCCCCAGGAAAAGTGATTCATTATTTTGCTACAGGAAAACATCCTCTTGTCCCCAATTTAATTCCCAAATGGGCCAAATCATTTAGGCTGATTGTTTTTCCACACAGAGGCACAAAATCACCACCCTGCTGCAGTTACTCATAATGGAAAATGTCAGGAGAAACATCTGAAGCTAGGTAACATTTAAAAGAACGGAAACATACTCCAGTAAGAGATCAGTTACGTAATCCCAGTAACAGACAGCATCATCAACCATGTTTGAAAATGTTATTATTTATATATACCAAACGTGGGACAAAAGAATTTTCCAATTGCAGAACATAAATTGATAAGTAATATATGTTGGATAGGTATTAAAAATAATGTAGAAATTCATTATGGGTCTTGGAGAGGAAGTGTAGCTTATATAGCTAGCTTTTTAGTGAGCTTTAAAAATCTTCTCTACATCATCTCCAGATAGCTCAGATGATTACAGCAAAAGTAAATGGAGCCAGGTGAGGTGCTATGAGTATTCCCAAATGCTCAGCAGCTATTGTGCTTGGGCTAATGTGGTTACTTTTCGTTAAAATAAATACCAGTTGATGAACAGTTAATATTGCTCCTCCTGCCCACTTCAGTGAAATGATTTGATGTGCTGGTAGAGCCGTGTCTCGGGGTTGGAGACCAGGTCACTACAGAGCAGACAGACAGACAGACGGATCTCCTGAGAGGTGGCGTGGGCTGGGAGCTCAGGGCACCTCACCCTGCCTATGGCAGTGTCACCTGGAGGCCCCTCTCAAACCTTCGCTGAGGACTTGGGTGATGAATACAGCTGGTGACTGGCAGGCACTTCCACCACGGGCAGGACATTGGGAGTGCGTCCCATGGGCGTCCATGGTTGAGGAGCTGCAACTTTGTGGAAACCAGGAGAGCAGCCACAGAGAGCATGAACAGAGTTTCACTCCATATCCATCAGAAAATGGCAGCAGCCAGAAGAGAGACCTTCAGAAGAGAGGTTTGAAAATAGATGCCGCTAAAATATTTACATTGCTTTTTTTGACACAACTGGGGAGGCATCAGCTGTGAAACCAGTGCTCTGCAAGGACTAATGGACTCCAAATGAAAATGGCATAAGGGGGATGTGTTTTTCTGGGGAAGAAGTGAGGAAGTTCCTAAGAACACCAGCCACAGGAAGCCACGCTGTCACAAGAGCTGCCGAAGAGTTACCAGAGGCCAGCACTGGGTGCAGGTATTTCCTGCTGCGGAGCAGCCCCAGCAGCAGCCAGGCTGCATACGCCGGCCCGCTCGCAGACATCGACCCAAAATGTGTGTCATTTCACAGCAGGAAATGGTGAAATGTGCACTAATGTCAATTGACTTCCCGTAGGGACCATCCGTAGCCTCCTGCCGTTGCCCAGCTCAGAGGGGCTGCAGGCTTCCCGCTTCCGCAGGATTTTGGCACTTTCCCTCTTCCCAAAGATCAGATGGGTCTTTTGCCTCACTGCAAAAAGGAAGTTTCTGAGCACAACCAGACTTAAGTTCTAATCAGATTATTAAAACCATGGGTGTCTCAAGAAACATTTGGAAGTAAATGAGTCATGCTTGATGTGATTGGTTTGGGGTGACTCTGTGCGTGTGTCTGTGTGTACGCACTGGGAATGGAGGGTAATTGGGCTCTTTCAATCTACTTGGACTTACCTGAGAAGACAATAAAAAGTTAACTGGGGAAGTGAAGCCCACAGGTCCCTCTTCTAGTAAACAAGACATGAATCAATACTGATTCCCACACCTACACTATTTTTTCTAGTCCCAGAAAGGCCCAGGATTCTCCAAATTCCTCTTACACATTATACTTTGGAACCCTGTACTCACTCTGGCAGCTGCAGCAAGCTGGCCTTTAATCTCCATTTCTTCCTCGACAGCACTAATTTCAGGTATGCCATGTCTCATATACCTGGCTCCTTCAGATCTTAAACAGCTGACTTCAACCCCAAATTTATTGTAAGGCATAAATGCAGCAGCCTTTCCTTTCCCAGGACCCAGCCCTAAGCTCTGTGCTGAGCTCCTCTAAACTACCAAAGGAAATACAGGGCATGTCACCAGCTGGGTCACGCTAACATACAAGCTGTGTTTCAAAACCGAGTCAGTAGTTTAACTTAAAACAAATGTTTCTGGGTTTTTTTCTGCCACAGATTTCCAACCATCGTGGTAGGTCAAATGCAGCATTTCACCATTTCTGCACTTAAGAGAGCCAGTTTCCATCTTGTGGTTAAATTTCTCAACTCGTTTAAACAATCCCTATCTTGGATCAACACACTGCTTATCTCTGAGTCCCAGTGGAGAAGTCCTATGACGGTTATTATGTCTGAGCGTGGCTAACTGCTAGAATATCCATCTGTCTTCCCCTGCAAATTTTCGTTTGGCAGGAAACAGTGGCTGTCTTCTCTTCTGCGTTTTCTAGCAGCAACTTGACTAAAACTAAACCTCTGAAGTATTTCCATTCTTACTTGCGTTCGGATAAGTGTGGGAAAGAATCGGATCCTGTCTTTGTCATCCACAAACTTTGGAGAACCATGAAACCCTTCTGAAAAAGGCATCAACAACTACTTGGAGCAACTACTT